AGATACAGGGGACCCATACAGTATCTTTAATACTAAATTGACACGGAATGCCCAGAAGACAGTCTCTGTGGTTGGGGTCTCAGACCAAGCACAGCAAAAAAGGGGCTGTAACTATAGAAAATCACCCAGAGATGCCCTATATGTGCAAAAAATAATCCAAAACATGAGAGACACCCTCCAAGCCAAGGGACACAGTATAAAGAGGAATTTCCCTTTGAGGACTGACAAATAGACTTTACCAAAATCCCTAGGACTACTAGGAATTTAAAATATTTACTAGTGTTTATACACCTTTCTGGGATGAATTGAAGCCTTCTCTACTCAGACAGAAAAGTCTTCAAACATTTTAAGACTCTTGCTAAAGAATATTGTTCCTAGGGGCACCTGGGTGGCTTAGTCGGTTAAGCGTCCGACTTTCGCTTAGGTCATGATCTCGCGGTTCGTGGGTTCGAGCCCCGCGTTGGGCTCTGTGCTGTCTGCCAGCTTAGAGCCTGGAGCCTGTTTCAGAGTCTGTGACTCCCTCTCTCTCTGACCCTCCCCTGCTCATGCTGTCTCTCTCTCTCTCTCCTAGAAATAAATAAAACATTAAAAAAAAAAAAGAATATTGTTCCTAGGTTTGGTTTACCCTACACAATTGAGAATGATAATGGATCTCCTTAGTATGCAATGTGGTGCAAAAAGTAAGTGCTGCTTTATAGATCAACTGAACATTATATGCTTCATATATTGAAAAAGACTTTGGCCGAAATCTGTCAAGAAACCAACCTGAAATAGGATAAGGCTCTACCTATTGCCCTGCTCTGCAGTAGGGCTGCCCCCAGAAGCAAGCTAAAATTAAACCCTTTTGAGCTTATATATGGAAGGCCCTTTCAGGCCTTGGCTCTAAGGACATCACCCTTAGACTAAGAAAATGAAAATAGTAGTAAATAATATGTAAAACATTTTACAACAATATGTAAAACATTAACTGTTTTGCATGGGTATGTCCTCTTCTTTAGGTCATGAGATGAGTCACTGTATCCTTTCAGGCCTGGAGAAAGAGTACTATCAAAGACCTAGAAAAATTAAGGACTCAATCAGCAGTTGGCTGAAAAATGGATGGAGCCTTATGAAGTCTTATTAACTTCTTCTAAGTTAGTAAGTCCTACTAACTAGTTAGTCCTACTTCTCTAAAACTTGCAGGGTAAAGCTGTGGATGCACCACACCAGAGTTAAGAGGGCCTCACCTACTGACAACAAAGAGGCTGCTGAACCCCCCCACTGAGAAAGCCATTCTATTCAGGATTTGAAATATCCATTTAGGAAAGGAATCCATGACAACTATGTTGACTCTGATCCATACTATGTCTTCTCTGTCTCTGGGTTGGAAAGACAATACACTAGTACGGGTAATTCAGACCTTGGCTCAGCTGCATGTGCTACTGATTGTTGAATATGTCATCCAAAAGCCCAATCCGTGATGGCCCATGGAGACTCCTTGGTCCGTCCTGCTCATAACACCTCAGAAACCCCCAAAGGCAATTGGCTTCCAACCACTAAGGTCCAAATAAAAATGTATAGGGTTAGAGGGTGCTTGGCTAGCTCAGTCAGTAGAACATGTGACTTGATCTCAGTCCGAGTGGTGAGTTCAAGCCCCACATTGGGTGTAGAGCTTACTTAACTTTAAAAAAAGACTATTCAAAAACGCATGGGGTGAAAATAGCTAGATTCTCTCAGAATGATCTGAGGCATGCTCATGTCTCACAGTCCCTTTAATTACTGTGTTAAAAGAGGTTATTTTCAAAGGACAAAAAACAAGCATGCATTCCCCCATTAGACACCACATGAAATCGTCTCCAAAGGGGACCAGCCACAGATTGTATTATAAATTCTACCCCTTCTGGCTACCCCAGGGATCCCCTTCTCCCTTCACCTTGCTAATGAAACTAAACATTGGGCTATCTCCCTGAAATTATTTGCTAGACTGACTCGTGACCTCCTCAGCAATATCCTTGATGGGGCTGAATATTTGTTTATAAGTTGTTGCCATCATGGGGGGCTGCTGACCATCAACATGTGCTTTGCAACTTGTCCCAAACTCTAACTATCCCTGTGAACACAACCACCAAATCCTAGGCTAACTTGCAAAACTCATTAGATTCCCTTGCTAAAGTTGTCCTGGATAACCATATGGCCCTAGACTATATCCTAGGTGAGCAAAGGGGAATTTGTGCTATTGCTAATTCATCTTGCTGCACATGTATCAATCCTTCCTCAGAAACCAGTATCGATAAAATCATACAACAAGCCACTCGGTTGCAGCAGACCCTAGACTGCCATACACACCCCTGTTCTGGCGAGGATGGGATTGCTTCACGGATGTCTTCTCCTGGTAATGATCAGGACTTAGGTCTATATTATAAGACATTTTAAAATTAGGACTCACACTCATGCTAGGAGCACTATTTATAGGAATTAAGCTCATTACAATGTGTGTAACAAAACCATGCAAGTCGCATCAGTTGTGTATAAAGAGATGCTTCAACTCACATTAGCATGTTCCATTCCATGGTCCCAACTACCTCCTATATCAGCATGAAGTAGCTATAGACAATGGACCCTGGTTCTTAATCCCATACATATGAAATGGGAAAATTGACAGTGGGGGAGTTGAGGCCGCCTTGATCTTCATAACTAGCATGATGATGTTTATTAGTGTTCATAAGTTGATAAGATTGATTTACTAATCCTCCTTGTGAATCTATAAATCTTACATTCCTTTCTAGAAGGAGAGTAGAAAGCCCTCGCCCATCACAGAACAGGAATTAGACCACTCGCACAACCCTCAGGCACTGAAAGCTGTAAATAGGCACCACCAAATCTATGTGGAATCAGGAAAATACTACAGGTCACTGCACCCCCTCACTGATTAACGACGCTTGTCCTTTTAAAACCCTCTTGACTAGTGAGAAACCTCAGAGTTAGCTTTTGGACAAGTGACTGCCTTCTCTCCAGGTGGCCAGCCTTCTGAATAAAGCTCATATTCCTTTCCAATCAACACATGTCTCTTGAGTATTGACCTTTCAAGCAATGGGCAGCTGAATTTGGGATTCGGTAATAGTAATCTGAAATAACTCACAATAAATAATGGTAACATGCTCTGATTTTAGAATAGTAAAATTCATTTAATTACTGCTAACATCTTTAAATATTATTTGAAATGTCAGATCATTTATCTCTATTTTAAGGTAAAAGTAACCCAAACACAAAACGGCAGTGTTAAAAAATGTAGGCTGTAGAATAATGTAGAAAGGATCCTAAATGTTCACTGCCCCAAATCCCAGCAAGAGCAGGAATTTCGTCTCCCTGTAATCCGGCAAGCCCAGGCTTGTCCACTTGCAGTGCTGGGACTCATCGAGTCAGCGTACATCATCTTTGGTTTTTGCCACTTAAAAATTTTTTTTCTTGTATGGTGCAAACCTGTTCTCTTAAAACTTCTGTCTATAAGTATATGAAGATAAAAATACAGAATGTAGCCCTTTGACAATACCAACTTTATATCTAATTGAAGGCAGGGTGATTTCTAAGTAATGTGATTATTTTATAACAATGAAGTTTTGCTTTATCTCGACATTCTTACTTCTAAAATCCAAGCTAATTTATTTTTTTAATGCTTTTTTATTTTTGAGAGAAAGAGACAGAGTGCAAGCAGGAGACGGGCAGAGAGAGTGGGAGACACAGAATACAGAGCTGGCGCCAGGCTCTGAGGTGTTTAGCACAGAGCCCAACGTGGGTCCCAAACCCATAAACTGCCATATCATGACTTGAGCCAAAAGTCAGACACTCAACTGACTGGGTCACCCAGAGACCCCACTAATTTATTTTTTAAACCTAAAAACTAAGGAAATGTTTACCTAATGAATATCGATAGTTTCTTAGATGTTATATTTTTATTTTGCAAAGTTTGTGTTCTCAGGCCTTTGGAAATCAGAATAATTTACTTTCATTACGATGAGATCTTATACATATAAGTCATTTTTTAAAATTCATTTATTTATTTTGAGAGGGAGGAGAGTGTACACAAGTTGGGGGAGAGCAGGGAGAGAGAGAGAGAGAGAGAGAGAGAGAGAGAGAGAAAGAGAGAAAGAGAGAGATTGGAGAATCCCAAGTAGGCTCTGCATATTAGCACCAGAGCCCAAGGCAGGGTTCGATCTCACCACCGTGAGATCATAACCTGAGCCGAAATTAAGAGTCGGACACAACCAAATGAACCACTTGGGTGCCCCTCATTTTTTTTTTTTAAGTGAAGTCAAACCAGTCACAGGATAATGAGTTTCACTCTCCTTTTTGACTGACTTAAGGTTGCTGATTGTATGTCTTCTCCAGCAAGCCAAAGTACTGAGGTTTCCTAAGTCCCTAGGCCTTCTCCTCTTCTCATCTATTTGAATTCTCTCACTTAGCCTGGAAGCAAACAGCAGCTTGAGAGAAGCTGTTGAGAGACAGACAACCATGGGAGAACTCTAAAAACAATTCCATAAATAAAAGCTCATTTTTATCCTTAGAATATTGTGGCAAGAAAATGCCACTGCTGCCTCCTAGTGTATTTCTTTGAGAAATATTCGTACCTTTCAATTCATTTCAACAATTATTTACTAAGTCCCCATCATTGGGTGAGGATCCAGGCTTTTCGCTAGTACTGCAGTTACAATAAGCACAACTTGTGACATTCTGTTCCTTAAAAGTTAGCAGTATTAAAGAAGACTCCCCTTCGCTCATAGAACAATGACAGACAGCTTTGCACTAATATAGGCAACTCATGTCCTATGGTGTTTCATAAGCCCCAAGATAGTCTCAATGAGACCTTGGTATTTTCCAAACAGTAGATAGGGTACATGGAAACAATATTAGCCTCAGTTTACACATGAGATTTAAACAGTTTGAACCTCAGTTTATACATGAGTTTTTAACAAGAGTGAATTAAAAGACAAAATTATCCTATTAAAAATAATTCATCATACTTGAGAAGTCATTTGCTTTATTATATAAATGACAGTTGCAACAAAGATATAGATTAGATATAATTATATAAACTGGAAGATAGGATACTGACAGCCAGACATCATTCTTGTAATGGGCGGTTATATATTCAATATAATGAAAATGTAGAATGTTACAAATATCCACATTTGAAGATTATAAAAAAGAAAGCAAAGATAAGAATTCTGCTTGCCCACTCAGTAACGCACAAAGATTTATGTAACAGTTACCACAAACTGATCTCATTAACAGAACAATGTTACATTATCTATGAACAGAAACAGTAAAGTACTTGGGATAGTGCTTTATATAATATTGTTTGAGGCAATCTACATAGGAAATATGATCAAGACTCGTAATAGCACAAACTTGATTGGCCTTACATTTCCCACTGCAAATGGCACTGGTGTCATAACTCACAAAGAAGTAATTGTAGTATTTTATAAACTGCTCACTGTCCAGGATTGCAAATTGCTTAGCTAATGCATACAAACTTTTGGGCTGCAAATCTTCAATGTCATAGGTCTGAGTCATCACATATTCCAGCTTCCAATCAGATTCTCCCTTTAGATTTGCTTCTGTAAGGTTCAAATAATACTGCAACATATCCTGTAGCAGAAACAGTCACAAAACGTGGTTCATTCTTTGGCATAGAAAGTACTTCACAGCGAGAAGAGTCTTTATTAGGATTTATGTGACATTCTTAATTTAAAGTTGCAGTCATTTAGAAAAAAGTAAGAACTGTTTTTTTTAAGAATCCAATAGAAAAATCTATACTACTTTTTTGATATTAAAAACAATGAAGGAACATAGGCTAAACTACACAGAGAGATGTGCAAAATATAGATCTCTCGATTTACACACCTCAGAAGTAACCGCTGATAATAGTTACGTATAAATTAGTGGTGTGCTGAAGGCGGCTTGTACTGGCTCACAGAGCCAATCATCAAATTTTCAGGAATTTTGACACTATATATTTTTTTTCCCAGTGAGCAACTTGTTAAATATATATCATCACTGCAGTGTATGCCTGTTTTTCTAGACTTTATGTACAAAACAAATACAATTATTTAGAATATATACACCCTTTTAAAAGGGTGTATATATTTACTATCTTTTTGGCCTTTAAAAAAAATTAACTTATACTATATATGGACTGTTTTGCACTCTTAAAAATAATTAGTGCTATATCAGGGCATCCTTCTATGTCAGTATATATATATACACACGTAAATACACACACACATATATGTACATGTATACATATATATAATATATACATATGTATGTGTATGTGTGTGTGTGTAACAGACGTTCAGATCCAAATATGGGCAACTAATAGTTGTAAAAATAATTCAGTCAATTGTTTTATTTCCTCATTTAATCTAATGCTTACGAATTAAATCTGATTTCCCCTGCCTAACTTTCTTCATAAAAACATGCTCTAAGGAACAAGAGAGCTACCTCTTCTTAAAATTTTCTAGAAAAAAATGCATTTACATTAATAGAGACTCTAACTGAAAAATTCTTTTCACTACAAAGACTCTAAACCCACATATTTCAATAATAACACTGAATGTAAATGGGCTGAATGCTCCAATCAAAAGACATAGGGTAGCAGAATGGATTAAAAAACAAAATCCATCTATATGCTGTCTACAAGAAATTCATTTTAGACGGGAAGATACCTTCAGATTAAAAGTAAGGGGATGGAGAAATATATATCATGCTACAGGAAATCAAAAGAAAGCCGGAGTAGCGATACTTATATCAGACAAACTGGACTTTAAATTAAAGACAATCACAAGAGATGAAGAAGGGCACTACATAATAATTACAGGGTCCATCCATCAGGAAGAACTAACAATCATAAATGTCTACGCACCGAATATGGGAGCACCTAAATATCTAAAACAATTAATCACAAACAGAAACAAGCTTATAGATAAGAATGTGCTAATAGCAGGGGACTTTAATACTCCGCTTACAGCAATGGATAGGTCAACCAGACAGAAAATCACTAAAGAAATAATGGACTTGAAAGACACATTGGACCAGATGGATCTGACGGATATATTTAGAACTTTACATCCTGAGGCCAGGGAATTTACTTTCTTCTCAAGTGCGCATGGCACATTCTCCAAGATAGATCACATACTGGGACATAAAGCAGCCCTCAATAAATATAAAAGAATAGAGATCATACCATGCACACTGTCAGATCACAATGCTTTGAAACTTGAAATCAATTACAGGAAGAAGTCTGGAAAACCGCCAAAAACATGGAGGTTAAAGAACACCCTTCTAAAGAATGAATGGGCCAATCAGGCAATTAGAGAGGAAATTAAAAAATATATGGAAACAAATGAAAATGAAAACACAACAATTCAAAATCTATGGGATGCGGCCAAGGCAGTCCTAAGAGGAAAGTACATTGCTCTCCAGGCCTATTTCAAGAGATTAGAAAAAGCACAAGTCCAAAATCTAACAGCTCACCTAAAGGAGCTAGAGGCAGAGCAACAAGAACGCCCTAAACCCAGTAGAAGAAGAGAAATAGTAAAAATTAGAGCAGAAATAAACAACATAGAGACCAAAGAAACAATTGAACAGATCAATGAAACCAAGAGTTGGTTTTTTGAAAAAGTAAACAAAATTGACAAACCTCTAGCCAGGCTTATCAAAAAGAAAAGAGAGAGCACCCAAATAGACAAAATTATGAATGAAAATGGACTTATTACAACCAACCCCTCAGAAATACAAGCAATTATCAGGGAATACTATGAAAAATTATATGCCAACAAATTGGACAACTTAGAAGAAATGGACAAATTCCTAAACACACACTCACTACCAAAATTCACACGGGAAGAAATAGAAAACCTGAACAGACCCATAACGAGTGAAGAAATCGAATCAGTGATCAAAAATCTCCCAACAAATAAGAGCCCTGGACCTGATGGTTTCCCTGGGGAATTCTACCAGACATTTAAAACAGAATTAATCCCAATTCTTCTCAAGCTATTCCAAAAAATAGAAGTCGAAGGAAAACTCCCGGACTCATTTTATGAAGCCAGCATCACTCTGATTCCCAAGCCAGACAGAGATCCAGCAAAAAAAGAGAACTATAGGCCAATATCCTTGATGAATACGGATGCAAAAATTCTCAACAAGATCCTTGCAAATCGAATCCAGCAGCATATCAAAAGAATCATCCACCAAGATCAAGTGGGATTCATTCCTGGGTTACAGGGCTGGTTCAACATTCGCAAATCAATCAATGTGATCCATCATATCAATAAAAGAAAAGATAAAAACCATATGATCCTGTCAATAGATGCAGAAAAAGCATTTGACAAAATACAGCATCCCTTCTTAATAAAGACTCTCGAGAAAGTTGGGATAGAAGGAACCTACTTAAACATCATCAAAGCCATCTATGAGAAGCCTTCAGCTAACATCATCCTCAACGGGGAAAAACTGAGAGCTTTCCCCCTGAGATCAGGAACACGACAGGGATGTCCACTCTCACCACTGTTGTTTAACATAGTGCTGGAAGTCCTAGCATCAGCCATCAGACAACAAAAGGAAATCAAAGGCATCAGAATTGGCAAAGAGGAAGTCAAACTTTCACTCTTCGCAGATGACATGATACTCTACATAGAAAACCCGACAGACTCCACCAGAAGCCTACTAGAACTGATCCAAGAATTCAGCCAAGTTGCAGGGTACAAAATCAACGTACAGAAATCGGTTGCATTTTTATACACCAATGATGAAGCAACAGAAAGAGAAATCAAGAAACTGATCCCATTCACAATTGCACAAAAAACCATAAAATACCTCGGAATAAACCTAACCAAGGATACAAGAGATCTGTATGATGAAAACTATAGAAAACTTATGAAGGAAATTGAAGAAGACACAAAGAAATGGAAAAACATTCCATGCTCATGGATAGGAAGAATAAATATAGTTAAGATGTCATTACTACCTAAAGCACTCTACACATTCAATGCAATTCCAATCAAAATTGCACCAGCATACTTCTCAAAACTAGAACAAACTATCCAAAAATTTGTATGGAACCACAAAAGACCCCGAATAGCCAAAGTAATACTGAAAAATAAAACCAAAACGGGAGGTATCACCATCCCAGACTTCAGCCTCTACTACAAAGCTGTCATCCTCAAGACAGTATGGTATTGGCACAAAAACAGACACATAGACCAATGGAACAGAATTGAGAACTCAGAAGTGGACCCAAAAGTATACAGCCAACTGATCTTTGACAAAGCAGGAAAGAATATCCAATGGAAAAAAGACAGCCTTTTTAACAGATGGTGTTGGGAGAACTGGACAGCAACATGCAGAAGAATGAAACTAGATCATTTTCTCACACCATGCACAAAAATCAACTCAAAATGGATAAAGGACCTGAACGTGAGACAGGAAACTATCAACACCCTAGAGGAGAAAGCAGGAAACAACCTCCTTGACCTCCACCGCAGCAACTTCTTACTTGACACATCCCCAAAAGCAAGGGAATCAAGAGCAAAAATAAACTGTTGGGACCTCATCAAGATTAAAAGCTTCTGCACAGCCAAGGAAACAACCCAGAAAATTAATAGGCAACCAACGGAATGGGAAAAGATAGTTGCAAATGACATATCAGATAAAGGGTTAATATCCAGAATCTATAAGGAACTCACCAAACTACACGCCCGAAAAACAAACAACCCAGTGAAGAAATGGGCAGAAGACATGAACAGACACTTCTCCAAAGAGGACATCCAGATGGCCAACAGACACATGAAACGATGCTCAGCATCCCTCCTCATCAGGGAAATACAAATCAAAACCACACTGAGATACCACCTCACGCCAGTCAGAGTGGCTAAAATGAGCAAATCAGAGAACTCTAGATGCTGGCGAGGATGTGGAGAAACGGGCACCCTCCTACACTGTTGGTGGGAATGTAAACTGGTACAGCCCCTCTGGAAAACAGTGTGGAGGTTCCTCAGGAAACTAACAATAGAACTCCCTTATGACCCAGCAATAGCACTGCTAGGAATTTACCCAAGGGATACAGAAATGCTGAGGCATAGGAGCACATGTACCCCAATGTTCATAGCAGCACTCTCCACAATAGCTAAAACATGGAAAGAGCCTAAGTGTCCATCAACAGATGAATGGATCAAGAAGATGTGGTTTATCTATACCATGGAATACTACATGGCAATGAGAAACAATGAAATCTGGCCATGTGTAGCAACATGGATGGACCTTGAGGGTGTTATGCTGAGCGAAATAAGTCAGGCAGAGAAGGACAAATATCATATGTTTGCACGTATAGGAGGATTAGGAGGAACTTGACGGAGGAACAAGGGGGAGAAGAAGGGCGGAAATGGTGGGGGAAAAGGAGAGAGGCAAACCATGAGAGACTCTTGAATGCTGACAAAAACTGAGGACTGATGGATGTGGGGGGGAGGGGGGATGGGCATGGAGGAGGGCACTTTGGGGATGAGCACTGAGTGTTATGTGGAAACTAATTTGACAATAAACTATTTGTAAAAAAAAAAAAGAAAAATTCTTTTCAAATTATATTAATTAAAAGGGACAGTACTCAGAAGGAAAAAGTCCAGCCTTTCAGTGGTAACTTGGTCAAAAACATAGTCATGTACAAATTCCAGAGAACTTTTGTCTCAAAGATAAATGTCCAGCTCAATTTATTTTCTTCACCAAAAAAAATATTGCCAACACTTATTGAATGCTTACTTATAAGCCAAGCATTCTTCTAAGTGCTTTACACATATTTGTTCACGTAATCCTCACAGCAACTCTGTGAAGTCAGTAATATTTAGTTTAATCCTCATTTTACAGAGCAACAGACTGGGGACAATTTGGTAAAAGAATGCTTAGAGGAGTATGGTTTCAGAGTCTACAGTCATTTTCACAGCTATGTTCCACAGAAGAGTAGTTAATAACAAATATGGCTTAGTCAAAAGTTTCAATATGTGGACAAGTCCACAAATCAGGCCCTCCCCAATGTGCTAAACAAATGTCAAGTCCTTAGAAGGGCAGAAACAACCACCCAAAGGCTGATGTCATATGCCCATTCTTAAAGTGCTGACCAGCCAAATATAAAAAGAAGAAAGACATCATGAGATTTCAATATAGAAACAACGCACATAGTTAAGCTCAAAACATTAGACTAAACTGTTGGAAACTATAAAGACATGCATAAATGTGGGGACAAATCTGAAATTGGGTCAACTTACCAATAGTTTATAATCATGAAGATCATACTGAAATAGTCTGACGCCAGGATTGTTGGTCAGTGTTTCTGTAACACTCTTCACCGGGGTAACAGCAGGAGCCACAAACAAAGAATTTACTGGTCTTCCTGGGCAAAACATATGTACATAAACATATATTTTTTTAATTGAATTTAACTTTATTAAAAATATAAACAAATTCAAGATTAAGAGATTAACAGACATAACAGCCAAATGATGACTTGGAACAGCTATAAAGAGATATTTTTGAGAAAACAGAAATTTTTATTATGCACTGGTAATAGATGATACCAAAGAATTACTATTGATCTTGTTAGGTAAGCGAATCGTATTATGATTATGTAAATTAGCCATATATTTTAGCAATGTATACAGAGCATGTAGGCTAAAATAGATCTAATGTTTGTGATTTACTTTCAAATGCTTGAGAAAAAGAAAAAAGAATAAAAAATGAATAGGTAAAGCAAATGTGGCATAATCCTGATAGATGTTAAATATGTGATGGTGTGTGTGGGGGGGAAGGGGGGTGTTTAATTATTTTCTTTTAGAAGTATTTGAAAATTTTCATAATAACAAAATCCAAGTTATCAATAGTATACACACACACATACAAATACAAAACTAGTTTGTTCTGTACATCTACCTAAAACGATACGCCAATAATTACATAATAGGAATCTGACTAGGGTCACCATGTTTCTATATATATATCTATTATAGAACTGAACTTCTGAGTAAAAAAGCTTTCAAATACTAAAAAATGGTCATTTTTACCAAGCCTACTTTTTGTAAGTGAAAGACGTAAAGCATTTTGAAAATGTTCCCCAATTGCTGAAAAAACTACATACTGATTTTTTTCCTGGCCGACTACTTACTCTAAAATAAGAACTCTTATTTTGTTAACTCCCTGTTTCCTGTCCTCATGAGGTCATCATCTTTAAAAATAGGTAATCATTGCTTTGTTTGATGCCAGAGCTTCTTCTATTCTTATCTTGTAATTCTGAGTAGATGACAATGTTGATTAGCTTTTAAAATTAAGTGCTTGATCTATTTTAAACCAATAGTGAATTGTGCTTTTCTCTTCAAATTCTGAGAAGCAAAACAAGTCATATAAAAAGACACTTGAGTCTAGGAAGTAAATGATGAACAGCTGTATTTCCCTAAACTTGAGGATCTAAAAGAAAATTTGAGTGAGCTGAGGGTTTCAGAGCCTTTTTTGATGATAGCTATCAAATGCTGGTGGCCCTGTGGAGAAAATAGGGAGAAACCCAATTGCAGGCCTGCACAGGAATTACACACTTGCCTTACAAACACAGAAGAAATTTAGAAAACTCTGGTGCTGACAGGTTGATTTAATGAAACTTTTAATTTACTGATTCAGTAAAAATTATTGGATATTCACTGCTTTGCTCTAACATTTTGGATTGGGGAGACGCAAACAGAACAGCATATTACCTTTTTTATCAGAAAGAACCATAATACTATCTCTGTGAACGTGTCCATAAAATTGTCCTGCAATGACATTGCTGTATTTTCTAAAAATATCTATCAGTTTCTCATTATAGAATTCTCTCATTGCTGCGGTGTTCCTTGAATTGGGCAGATACCCCACTGGGATATGTGCTATGATGTACACCTGGAGAAAAACACAGTGAGGACTGATGAGAATCTTTTTGCATATGTATCATAACCAAATGACACTTAGATTCCAAGATTGAAAGTACTGTATATTAATTAAAATTTAGAAAGCAAATATACCATCTCTCCTATTACCAAAAAAAAAAAAAAAAGATGAAATAGTTATAAAACTGTTAGTGCCACTGTATTTGCATTTGACTCACTTAAATTACACTGTTCAAGATATATGCTAACTGTGACCTTGGTCACAATTTTTTTTTTAATCAACAGATGTCAGTAAATCCTGAAAGCATTAAAAGCAGAGCAAAATAAAACAAACGCAGCAGAGTTAATTAAAGCGTAAGGTGTTTCATGTGAAAACATCTTCAAATTTTAATACTTTTATTAATAGCTGACCCCACTTGCATTAATAAATAGACAAATTTAGCCCCTGTTTATCCCCAGATGATTTTAGTCTCTGGGATCTACCTTCTCCTTATTTTGCTGAGAGGTGTTCAGTGTCTTTTCTAGCCATTCAAACTGATTTGCTGGGTCAGTCTTATTCAGAGTCATGATATTTGGGCCGTAGTACAAGTTTGTGTTTAGACTGATGATCCTAAGGTTCAGATTAGGTGAAACTTTCTGTGTATAAAAGCCACCTATAAAAACAAATTTAAGACACACTCTAGAAAAACACATACACAGATTCACAGTGACTATGAAAGCAAACTCTTAATTATGGTTTATAAGCCAGTCAGGAAGGTGATACTTATTTCTCATTATTTAGTTTGTACATACATGGGGTTGTCATAAATAAGAATCACTTACTGAAAACCTACAGTGTGCCAGGTCTAGTGGTGGCACTTCCACATACTGAACTGCCAACAGTTGTATCCAATATGCAGATGAAACAATAATTAATTATTTCGGCAAGAGGCCATGAGGTATCAAACTTTAGAAAAGAAACATTAATGCATCAACTTCTACTTTTGCATGTTTGGGGAGTTAAGATGAGAGATACAGTGAAATACAAAATGCAAAAATGGGAACACACGTGGACCTTGCCAGAGACTACTATGGGAGAGATGTCAGATAAACCAGAGTCTTAGTATGGATGAGATTTAAAGGCAAAATCCCACTCACACCCATGAGCCAGTGGCGATAACACCCAAGGGTCTGCTGCAATGGTACATTCAGAGCTAGCACCTGATCCTGGACCTGCTCTCTTTGCCCTGGGCCCACTCACCATCTATGCCCCTCCTCAGCTTTCAAACATGACTGATAGCCTCCAAAAAAATGCGGCATATACAGAATGAACACACCCAAGCAAACATTAAAGATCTCAGTCTGAACAACATGAATAAAAATAGAGACAAAATAAGGATGAATAAATCTTTCACTTACCTTGCCTCAAAGTACGAATAGCTTCTTCATCCAACCAGGGTTCCCAGAGATTTGCTACTGCATTGTACACCTTGTTGGTGACCACAGGCAGTTGATCCTGGCCACAAACAATATAATCCACCATTGAATCTTTAAAGATACATAGATTAACTAATTTAAACATTACTTGAGCACTTACTACTATGTTAGACATCTGGAGAGGCAAGGATGAGTACTAGATAGGCTTCATCTTCAAGGAATTTATAACTTCATTAAGGAGACCAAAAAAATATAATCAGTCACCTATAAGACGATGTGCAAGGTGCTATCACAGAGGTTTTAGGAGGGCTGAAGCATGAACAATAGAGTCTAGCCCAGGGAGAAAGGGGGGAAAAGTGAAGAAAGCACATCAACCTGGCCTTGAATAATGGTTTCTTCACGTTTGCAAGAAAGGGCATTAAAGTAAAGACAATGGCCCAGACACCAACTATATACAGAGAAAAGCACTCGTGCTGGTTGTCCAGGATACAGGAGGGATATGGGAGTGTGCTCGTTAAAGAGAAACAGAGGCAAGTTTGAGCCTGAACATGCAGGGCCTGGAATAGCACACTGAGGGAATGGAGAAAATTTCGTTTTTTTACTTTTTATTATTTATAATTTTAGAATTAAACAAAGTCCTCTGAAATGTTCACATCAGTATAAAACTTCTGAACCTTCTGAATGAAGATTGACAACCACATGCTTTTGATTTGGAGAAGTCTCTTTATATCAACATGTTTTCATTTGGTAAGCAATATGTGCATAAAACATTTTAACTATCATAAAGTATTTTTGTCATCCTATTTTATCATATTATAATAAAGGATCTTTAAGGAAGGAAAAAAAACTGAACACTTTAAGAAAGTACATACTGAGGGACACCTGGATGTCTCAGTCAGTTGACAGACCAACTCCTGATTTTGGTTCAGGTCCTGATCTCACAGTTGAGACTGAATCCCACTCGGCATGGATCCTGCCTGGGATTTTCTCTCCCTCTCTCTGCCTCTCTCTCTCTTCCCCTCTCAAAAAAAAATAATAATTACAAAAAAATTTTTTAAATTTTTAAAAAGAAAGTAAATACTGAATAAAAATCCAAAAAATCACTTGTAAAATTAGATAATTATTCCTATTTTTGTTTTAAAAAATTATATTCGTAAACAGAAGCCATTTCCTTTACCCTCCTCCATTTCTTCTGTATTTTAGTGACATAGATCTATTTCTTAAAGAAATTTCCCATCAGCATGAGTTAAGATGCTTAGTTATTTTTCAAGATGACACCCAAGTCACATTAGTTCCTAATACACATGCGTAATACCCGATGAAAATAGAGCTACAGTCAGGGAAAGTAATAACCAAATGACTTGTTCTAACTAGAACTAATTATCCAAAGTATATTTTTAATTTGTGTCAGATATCAGACTCATCTGTCTGAAAATTATCCTGAATACCAAAATTTATGACTTATAGGTCAGATTCTAATTAAAAAATTGATCATCATCATCAAAAATCTGAAAGTTAGCCATTTGTTTACTTTAGGATAGATGCCAAAATACTGGTATGGTCATGTAAAATCTTAAAATTATATAAAATTACCCTAGACTTTCTTCTCAATGTTAGTTATGAGAAATGTGAGCACCAGGGATGTTAGCTGGCTCATCCAGGGACAGCTGGTCAATTACAGGATTGGTCTGAATTCCGGATCTTTCCAACATAACTCCTACGTCTAATTATTAATTGGACCATGCCATCATCTCAACCCTCTTTGGCTGTGACATGCACACTGCCAAGAAATGAGGTATATTGGGAAGTGACCCACCCATAAGTTTGGTGGCACCAGCCTTGCCTGTGTAGGAGTAAATGAGGACCCTGGCCCAGACTGCTTCCTAGGGCGGCAACTGAAGGAATCTTTAGGCTGCCCACACTAATATCTATTTCTGATGTAATGGGTGGGAACATGCATCTGTATATGTATGTTTAGGTAGCTATGTTTATGTGCATGTTTAATGGAGAAATAATACTTTTTAAACTATCTGCTTGATTTGTTACTAACAGTTTTATTACTGACATTCAGCAGAATTCCACCTCAGCTATCAGTCTGTAGGAGAATGTGTTGTGGGGCTTTCATGTTACATTTGACATTCTTGAAACTGGGGTGAAAGGGTGAAAGCAGAATAAATAGAAAGAAGATTTTCAGATACAAAGTCATAAGCTAGAAGGACAAAAAAATTAATTCTTTAAGGTATACTGCTACCCAATTTATCCTAGTTGTACATATGATAGGATATATTTTAGAATTTGGATATTATCTGTACCTTTGAATTATGATAAGATTTGACTTCACAAAAAGAAGACAGAAATAAAAGTAAAATAAAACAAACCCCAAAGGAGTTAGGGAAAATGCATCCCATGTTGCTGCTTACTGCTCTAATAACTACCACTTCACTTACTTAGGGTGTAATATGCACCAAGTAGGAAGCTATGCCCTATTCATGTAATATCACTAATTCTCACAAAAACTTTTCAGGGTAGGTGTTATTGCTTCTATTTACAAATGAGTGATTTCTAGATCAAAGACAGTAAGCGAATTATCCAAGTTGGTCAAGCTATCAGGAGCAGGACAGGATGGGGCCTTATATTCTAGTGACTACGACTCTAAACCCCACATGTTCTCCACTATGTCCATCTGCCTGTCACCTAAAACATATAAAAAACAATGTGGGTAGCTTCTGGCTTCCAGAGATTATTCATCCCCAAGCGTCTGCCCTGTGTGGTCTAACATCTCAACAGTAACAAAGTTGACCCCTGGTTAGGAGGATGACTCACAAAGACTAATATAGTCATCTCAAGCCTGGAGGCCAGTGCCAAAAACTTACTTGAAACAAGTTCATCCTAGAGTACAACATCTCAAATCCCTGCAGTGAGGTGATCAAAACACTCATTAAGCATTCTTGTGATGTGAGATGGAGAAGATATTCTAAGTAAGATAAATCTAGACAGAGAGGCACGAAAGTAAGTATCATGTTCAGGAATACGGAGTGTGTTAATCTGGCAAGAACAAGGGATATATGAAATAATGTTACTCTAATTGAACACAAAAGATCCAGGATGTGGGCTCTACTACTATGCAATTGTGAGCACTTGAATAAGCAACTTGACATCTTAGGGCCTCAGTTTTCTCATCTATAAAATGAAGAGTTGATCTACACCAAGGGTCAGCAAACTTTTCCTATAAAGGGCCAAATAATAAATATTTTAAGCCTAAGAGCCAAATAGTCTCTTGCCACAATTCTACTCTGCTGTTCTAGTACAAAATCAGAAATCAGCCACAGGCAATACAGAAAGAATAGCCATGGCTGTGTTCCAGTAAAACTTTATTAAGAAAAATAAGTGGTAGGCCAAATTTGGATCACAGGCCATAGTAGTCCACAAGTCCTGCACTAAAACACAATCTCTGAGATCTCTTGGATCTGTCCAAATTTACGATTCTACACTATCATTAACAGGACCCTGTAGCCACAGCTAGTATCCAGCCGTTATGCACAGACTGCTTCACAAATGGCCACACTGATAAGGTTAAGGCCTGGGCTTATGAGTTATTAAATATTCTGAACACAATCTCTGTCTTGAATTGCATCTTGAACTGGACCTGAACAGGAACCTCTCTCTTTGGTTCTTATGATAGTTTGCTATGTTTTTGTTTTTATTCATAATCTAGCTTAGATCCGAGTGTGGAGAGCTTTGTCTACCTAAGAGAAGTTCTGAAAAATGTAAATATTTGTCAATATCAACCTTCCTTGCCAACCTTTATCATAGAAATGTGAATGAACAGCATAATTATTCAAAAGAAAGTAGAAATTGAGGAAGATTATGAAGGAAAACAAGAATCAATAATCCACACACTAGACAATTTGCTTCCAAAACTCACTATGGACATATCTTTTGATGGATTAGTGAGAGTCACTTTAAAGTCCCTAAAGCACTTGTCTTATCTTCTTCAGTGGTTTTTAAGAGCACACTCTATCTCCGTGAGTCCCACTCCCATGCCCTACTATTAGCTAGTTATTGTCAGAATTTTGACAGTACTGATAGGAAAATTCCTTTGAACACTTTTGGAAGTTTAAATCAAATTTACCTGTGGCCAGTAATCATGATTACCCAGTGCAGGGAAAACCTGGAGATCTGGAAAGGCATTTTGGATGGTGGTTGTCATATTAGCAATCACATTTATGACCGTGTCTGTTGAGAGTTCATGCACCGGAACGTGAGGTGGGCTATCCCTGAAAAGGAGACAGAATCATGGAGAGCAAAATCAATTTCTATAAAAAGTCACTAGACACGCGTGATGCCTTGTTGTATTATCATTGCACGCTTCCACAATAAAACAAGAGATGAGTGTTAAAAGAACCGATAAACTACTCTTCATTTACGTTTCTCCCACAGAGAATCCTATTTTAAAAACTTTGTGTGATATGAAAGATAAACAGGAAATCTCGACCTGTTACACTGCTTGACTGAAGATTCACGAGAGGCAAATAGTTTAGCAATTAATAGCACAGATTCCAGAGCTAAAATGCCTGGATTCAAATTCCAGCTTTGCCATTTACCAGCTGTGTGCACTGGAACAAGTTACTTAGATGCCCAGCCTTCATCTGTAAAATGGGAATAATTACATCAAATGCAAAGATTAAATGAGGTATAATGTAAAAATTGGTTAAATAGCACCAGTCATTAATGCAGGCATAGGAAACATAAACCTCGTCACTCTGTCATGACAGATGGAATTAATTATGCCAGCAGAAGATAATGTTTACAAAATTGCTATCTCAGGTTAACTCTCATTGTGGCCTTTTATTTTTGATTATTTAATGTGACCTATTATCACATAAATAAACACCTCAAAATGTAAGTGTGCTGTTTGTGGGGTCATCATCTCTAAGCTAACACTGACATTTTTCTAGAGCCTGTATTCTAAAAAAAATTAAAATTCTGAGACTTCTAAAATCTCCCTTATCTCTAATAATCTAATGAGTAATCTGACCTAGTATTTTTTTTTTAATGTTTTATTTATTTTTTTTAGGAGAGAGAGAGAGAGACAGCGTGAGCAGGGGAGGGTCAGAGAGAGAAGGAGTCACAGACTGAAACAGGCCCCAGGCTCTGAGCTGGCAGTCAGCACAGAGCCCGACGCGGGGCTCGAACCCACGAACCTTGAGATCATGACCCAAGCGAAAGTCGGACGCTTAACCGACTAAGCCACCCAGGCGCCCCTGACCTAGTATTTTTAAAACCCAAATAACTCTTAACTTAAAAGCTAATTAGAAGCATCTAGGTGGCTCAGTTGTTAAACATCTGGCTTTAGCTCAGGTCATATCTCCCAGTTCATGAGTTCAAGTCCCATATTGGGTGAGCTCAACCCCTACTTCAGGTGAGCCCCGCCTCTCTCTCTCTCTCTTTCTCTCTCTGCCCCTCCTGGGATTCTCTATCTCTGCCCCATTCCCACTTGTGCCCTCTCTCTCTCTCTCAAAACAAAAAACAAAAAAACCCTAATAATTAATATTCATAGGAATTCAACATTCTAATAAAGCTTAGGACACTGCAGATAAATATTGAGTAACTAACAGTATTTATATAATCACTTACCCTGTCCATATCATGAAAGATGCTTCTTGTCCTGAATTTTTAATAAAATCAAATGCTGACAAAATAAGGTAGTATGGAGAATCACACAGAACATCTCCAAAAGGACCAGGATTGGAGGCATTTGCACCTTTAGATGAAGCACACACTTTCGTGTGGTCATCTGTGATGTGGTAAGAAGGGTCTAAGTGTAAATCAGTCACATGCCAAAACTGTCCTGTTGATTAGAAAAGAAACGGTGTTAAATCTACTTCCCTTCAGGTATGCCTATACAAATACTTACAGTAAGACTAGAGACAGTTACTCCTCCCTGTGAGGGAGTAAAATCCTAATAAATTAAATCTTTATTTGCCCTGAAAGTACATACAATACCTTCCTGTCGAAGATGAGGATCCCAAAGATAGTGGGAAGAAGTTACTAAAATTTACTATTTACATGGGTCACAACTGATGAGCTCACTGACAGCATGCCTACCTTAAAAAAGACTATGTAACAAACGTAAATTGCACAATGAACTAAAGGGAGACATCCTCTAGGGAGATCAATAATAATATTGTATCTTAATAGTATGTTTCCCTCTTTGCAGAATTTACAATTTCAGAATTTATTTATGTGCTTCTTGTGGAAAAATTGACATAGAAACATGATGTGGTCTGTTTGGGTTACAGTGAATAGATTGCAGAACCAGGAACTAAATCTCACTCCTAATTTCTTGTAAAACCTGGATTCTCAACATTAATGGAAAAAGAGTATAAATGTTTAATACTAGCTTTAAGCCAAAAGTAGGAATTGCCAGAGGCTATTAAAAGCTACTAAATATAGGAATATCTTCTAGCATACACTTGTATCAAATGTTAATAATGTTAATAAAAGCATTTGTTAAAGAGGATGCTTCCATTAGGTTTTCAGGGAGAAACCCGGAACCCATCTGATAGCATGGGAAAGATTCTTTCATTGAAGGAAATACTAGTACTAATAATCAGAGTAGTACCTCTCTTTATGAAGCATTTGTGCCAGGAATTATAATAAGGAAACTAAATACACTATGTCATTTTATTCTCAAAACCACTCTCTTGAAGTAGGAATCATTGTTCTCATTTTAGAGGGGAGAAACGAAAGGTGGGTCAATTAGAAAACTTGCTCAGGTAAACACAACTATTTTTTTTAAGGTGCTCATGTTAGGATCACATCTTTTTTTTTTTTTTTTTAATGTTTTATTTATTTCTGAGAGAGAGAGAGAGAAAGGGCAGGGGAGGGTCAGAGAGAGAGGGAGACACAGAATCCATAACTGGCTCCAGGCTCTGAGCTGGCTGTCAGCACAGAGCCCGACGCGGGGCTCGACCCCATGAGCTGTGAGATCATGACCTGGGCCGAAGTCTGACGCTTAACCGACTGAGCCACCCAGGCGCCCGGATCCCATGTTGCGCTTAACCACTGTACCACTTGCCTCCATGTGTGCTCACATTCAACTGTCCTTCCGTGTCACTTGCCTCACGTAAAATAGATAACAACACCTATATGAGATACTGTGACAATTAAGGGACATGAGATAATAAATATATTAAAATGTTACAAACCAAAACCGGAAACACATTAAGAACACATTTCCAGTACCTATATTTCTATGTCTTCAGTATCTAAAACATGTCTGACCTATAGTAGGCCCTCAATAAACATTCCTTAATTAGGGATGGGCAGATTTCAGGATTTCCTCAAGATCATATGGTGACTCAATATTGAGAGCTGAACTAGAACCAGTCTCTCCAGACTTCCAGTCCAGCACTCTTTCCACTACACTGCACTGCCAGATAAAGATAAGTGAGGGGGTAATTATTTAGATGCACTGAAGAAAGTCTTTAAATAGAAGCCAAGAGGAGTTCTGACAGGTTCTTAACCTGGAATTTATGACTAATGAACCTCTGGAGGCCTCACCTCCCACTTCTAATGAAATTATAAAGTGGTGTGTGTGTGTGTGTGTGTGTGTGTGTGTGTGTGTGTGTCTAAGGCCACAGACCTGGCCTGTGGCAAAGCCCATACTCCACTACAGATTCTCTGATTTGCAGTCCAAAGTTCATTTCATGACACAGTGATTTCTTTCTTGTTCTGCAGATAATCTCTAAGAAGATTTCTACAAATGTATGTGTGTATACACGTGTGTGTTGTCAATATACCTGGACAAATGCTCAAATTATACCAAAAAAATTATGGTTTAGCCAAAAAAATTCTAATTTATCCTAAAAAACCTGGTAAACCATAATTCAGATGCTTGGAACGTGATCATTATTTAAAATAGGTATTTTTGTTCCTTTGCTTATAATGTCAGTTCCGACCAAATATCCCTGCAGACCCTGACCTACTAAATCTAAAGAGAGTTATGGACAAATACCCCCAGATGAAGTCTCCTGGGTTGTTGTTTCCTGACCACAGGGACTTGACAGAACAGAAAGCTGAGACTGGGAGACTGGGAATTTACACACACACACACACACACACACACACACACAAACATACACACACACCAATTAAGCACAGGCCAGTCATGGTGGGTGTTATAAAGAAAGCATTTCAGGCTGGGGTGAGGTGGAGAGACAGGGTCACATCAAGTAGAAAACATGTAAAATAATATATCCAGTGCAAAACCGCTGAGTCAACTTCAGCAAGTCTCTGAGCCCCATCCCTACCTCCTCCCTAAGTGACTCAGCTTTCTAGCTGCCATATCAAAACAGGGAGGTGTAAGTGGAGCTGCCCTAGACACCAGAAAGTTGTTGTTAAGGCCTTAAGCAATCAGATCCTTAAAACCAAACTGTGAATTTGCCAATGGGTACTCCCAATGGGTAGCAACCTGGGACATTTTATCTCCAAATCCTAAGCAGTCACTTAATTAAAGAAAAACAACACAAACTTTAATAAAAGCAGAAACCAGCATACATATTTGGGAATAAATCTCATCATGACTGGCAGTTAGGAAACCAGATTCACAGTTCTTGCTTTCAACCTGCCAGCTGAGTCACGAGAACTTGGCTTCCACACAAAGAGGAGGTGTATTTTCAGAGCACTTCCAGAGCGTCAAAGAATAGCACCAAGCACTGTGCTAAGTTTCAGAGGTGGCTAAGTCCCCAACACAGAACAGAATTCCACCTATCAAAATGCCCCCCGCCCCAAGAACAGTACAATTCTTTTCAAAGGGTGTCAGGCAGGTGGGGGTTACCTTGACCTTTGAAACTGAAGGCTCAAAAGATACCCTAAAACCTAAAATCTGATAAACAGGTTCTTGGGTCCCAATTCTCAGTTTCATATTCCATAGGCCTGGGGTGGGCTGAAAACCTGCAATTCTGAGTTTGGGTGACCCTGATGCTGCTGGTCCCAGGCGGACCAAAACAGGTATTGCATTCAAGTGTTAAGAACGACTAAAATTGGGGCGCCTGGGTGGCTCAGACGGTTAAGCGCCCGACTTCAGCTCAGGTCATGATCTCCGGTTTGTGAGTTCGAGCCCCGCGTCCGGCTCTGGGCTGACACCTCAGAACCTGAAGCCTGCTTCGGACTGTATCTCTCTCTCTCTCTCTCTCTCTCTCTCTCTCTCTGCCCTCCCTTGCTCACGCTCTGTCTCTCTCTCAAAAATAAATACATGTTTAAAAAAATTCTAAAAAAAAAAAGTTATGACTAAAATTAATGCCGTCCACAGAGAGCGCGGTAACATCCAGGTACAGTAATAAAGGCCGCACGAGTTCTACCGCAGACTGAGGTGGGTTGTAACCAAGACTGGCTGGAGGAGTAAGAAAAAAAGGCCAACAAACCCGGCGAGCAGGACAGAAGATACTCGGAGTCCCACTGAAATGTACACCCCTATGGGGAAGAGGAAGCTCCGTAGCTCCCTGTCCTCTGGGCACATTCGGCGCGCGTGGCAACGCGGGACATCCAACTTCTAGCCTCGGTTTTGCTGGAGACGCGCACATTTCCTTCCCTCTCCCGGGACCCAACGCGCCCCCACCGCCGAGGGTACCTTCTCCAGCCCCCCTCGACCTCCCGCCGGTCGCCTGGCGCTGCGGTCGCGCGGTCGCGCTTGCGCGGCGCGTCCCGGGCTCCACTCCCCCCAGCCCCGGCCGCGGCGCCCTGCGGCCCCGCGCACCTTTCCAGACTTCGCGCGCGCGCTTTGGCCCGGCGTTCGCGCGCAGCCCCGGGAGGGAAAGGGTTGCGGACTCACCCACTGCCGGAGCGGGACTCTCGGGCGCCAGGGGCAGCCCGAGCCCGGGACTGCCGCACAGGGCGACCAACAGGCAGCAGACGCGCGCGCCCAGCAGGGCCATCACGAGTCAAAGCAAAGCCACGGGTCTGAGAGACTGAGGCTGTCTGACCCGAGGGTGGAGAGAAGGCAGAAGTAGGGTGAGGGTGTAGACGCCCTGCAGTCACGTGCGAGGGCAGAGTCCGCAAAGGGTCGGTTTGTTTGACCTTCAGCAACTGTCTAGCGATTATCTGCCCTCCTATGTCTTCGCGTCAGTGACTGGCCTGGGAAGGAATGTGCTTGGGCAAACTTCAGGCAGATCATTTTCCCTAAATGCCACCTGGCCTTAAACAGAGGGGGCGCCCCTGCAGAAGACGTACAGAGAAGCTTGCGGTCTTAACCGTATTTTGGAGGAGGACAGCAGAAGTGTTGGCTAGCACAGCGTATCTCGAAGGGTGGTCCCTAGACTAGCAGCATCAGCACTACCTGGGAATTTTAGTAAGAAATGAAAATTCCCAAGTCCTATCCCAGACCAATTATATCAGAAACTCAGGAACGAGGGTAAGAGTGGTCCGGTAATTTGTGTTTTTAATAGCCCTCCAGGTGATGCTAACGTGGTGGGGATGTTTGAGAACCACTGCTCAAAAACATAGGATTTTAGGGGCTCCTGGGTGGCTTAGTCGGCTTAGCAACTGACTTCTGCTCAGGTCTTGATCTCAGGGTTGGTGGGTTTAAGCTCACATGGGTCTCTGTGCTGACAGCTCAGAGCCTGGAGCCTGCTTCAGATTCTGGGTCTCCCTCTCTCTGCCCCTCCCCTGCTCACACTCTCTCTATCTCTCTCTCTGTCTCCCTCTCTCAAAAATGAATAAACATTTAAAATTTTTTTGAAAGAGACACAGGGTCATAGTTTTTAGGTTGCTTAGGGTGTTTGTTTGTTTACACCTAAGTTAGACGTCTGTATATGTGCTTTATACAGTGCAGAGACATGAAAAGCATAAATAGAGCCAGTTGCTTTTACTCTCCCAAGGAATTTTTAAAGATACTTAACCTGACAAAGGGGCCAAGATCCCCAAATTGTTTTGGGTTCTGTGTTCCTTCTCTTACCATTTATGAGGATGCTGGCCTCTTTAAGATAAAGATACATATAATTTAAATTTGTAGGACGTGGAATTCCTTGGGAGAAGAAAATATCCTGCAGAATGACTAACCTCATAAAAGAAGTCATAAAATGTATTTGTTTCCTATCAAAGGAAACCTTATATAGTATCCTGTGTAATTTAATGGGAAAGTGCCACATGAAAGAGGCTTTGAAATAGGAACCAAGGTGCCTCCATTTTGTTTCATGTACTGCCAGAGTGGTTAAGACCTGCTTCAGTTTTAGGATAATTCAAAAGCCTATCTAGAACCAAAATGCTTTCCAATGGTAGACAGAATGGTCTTTGGAATTTCTCAGTCCACAATCTCAAAAATATGGGAAATGGGCCGGGGAAAAATGGTGAACAGATGAGACACAATAACTTTAAGGACAGCAAAATAACTTGTGTGTGTCTAGCCCAAATATTTTGGATGATAGGAAAAAGATTTTTTTAAAGGGCAAAAATAACAATTTTAGCTCTTCTCCCCCAATTTCCAATAAGCTTTACTGAAAGTGAATTGTGAAACAAGTAAGCATAAAATACCTCCAGCACCTTTTGAAACCTAAAAAATGCTTGAATTCCTTAGAAGACAATGGATAGAAACATCATTCTCCCTTCTACTCCCTCTGCTTTCTTGTTTTCCTTTGTACCTACTCTCTCTAAGTGAAAAGCTACAGTGCCTCAACATCTCTGGGTTTTCACCTTAACCTTGGACATGAATGTATACATGCTTAGTGGTCCAGATGGAGGAGTCACTTGTGAGGGTGTGTACCTGGGTGAGAGAACACATGTGACAGTGGGGAAACTGCTCCTTACTCATCATCAGGGGTCCAAGTGTGGATTTCACAAGACACCGTTAGTCAGCTTTGCAACTTTAAGACCTTGGGATTTCACAAACCCCTCCAGGGCCTGTTGGTCAAATTGCCTTTGGGTTTGGTGATTTTCCCTTTTCTATTAACTATGTTAAAAACAAAATGAAAAGGACAAACCAGAAAAGTGAGTACTATTGGCAGATCACTATGTGAACTAGAATACTGCTGGAAGAAAAATGATTTGCAACTACCCTGTGAACATTTAGGAAGCAAAAAATATTTGTTAATTATCTTCACAGAAAAATACATTTGGTCCACCACTGCAACCTTTGATCTCTGTCATTGTAATTGTAATTTTGTTTCTCATTGAGGCCACCCAAAACCCTTCCCATTCTTCACTTAGAGAGACAGTTGTTATGGAAATAAATGCCAGCAGGATGTTATTTGGCCTAATTATAGTCAGCTGAACCTAAATCCCCATCCTTGGCCTTGTATCCTTAAGAACAGAGGCCAGAGCCATGCTTCTACTGGAGCAGAGGCTGGAATCAAGAGAAAGCAGTCTTCCATCAGAAGCAAAGGTGAAGGCTGCCTGAACAATTGGAAGCAAACACTCTCTCAGTGTTCTGTGTCATGCTTTAAAAGACAAACGTAGACTGTAGTTTTAGGAATCGTCATCTCAGCCAGACAGTCTTATCCTGGCATTCAGTAATAATTGTATTCAAATGTTAAATCCTATCGCTGCACTTTACTTTCCTCTACTCTTCATTATAGTGATTAAAGTAATCCAATAGTCAGATAATAGTTTCATTATGGTGAATTTTATAAGTTAAAGTAAGTTCCCTCATGCTTATATCTGTAAGCTAATTAAAGGGCCTTGAATTAACTTATAGAAATTTACTGAAATCACCTGCTTGAATAAAAATGAATATTGCATACTTTTCCTCAAAAATATTTACCCTATTTGCCTCCCAGAGGCCAACAGAGGAAAGATTTCCTAAGTAGTAATCAGGGAAACTAAAATCTTGTGCTTTCTTTCCCCCCAGAAGAGAAGTTAAGCTCAAATGCCAATTTTTGACAATAGATGAAAGGGAAGATCATAAGGTTTGCAGTTCTCAGTATTATTTACTAATCATGAGAATGTGGACATGTGAACCTGGTATTCAATTTCTTCATCAGTAAAATAAAAATAACAATATCTGCCTTACCTGCTTCATATTGTTGGTTTGGGAAAATGGATAAAATGCATTTAATAAATGATGAAATACAAAATTTGTTTGTTTCTACTTACGAAGGCAAACCCTAGCCAGTGACAAATAGGTATTTACTTTCCCTTGGTCAACTGAGTTCCAACAACAGCAGCTCACACACACCCAAAAAAGGGAATTTGAAAACCTTAATGCACATTCTATGCACTCCATTTTAGCACTACTGTTGACCTAGTTCATCTCAATGTATTTGTCTGGAGACACATCTTTATAATCCAGAGTAAAATTCACTTTCTTTTCCTGTTTACTTTTTAATAAGAAACTTGAGTTATATGACATTTTGCTTGTGTGAGTTTTTACTATATTTACTTTTTAATAAGATATATTCGTGTATATCATTTTGCTTCATCAGACTACCTGTTTCTCATTGTCACAGATTCTGTATGGAAGCCTCAACCAAAATGTGGCATTTCCACTTTTCCCCAGTCTTCTGCTTATTTCTTTTTAATTAATATTTTAAACAAAGTTAGCACTTTACTAGTAATGCTTTAAAAAAGTTAGCACCTTTCCAGCTTTACTTTATACAGTATGAAAGGCTATTTCATCTAAAATCTCCTAATGTATAATTAATTCCCAGCCAGAAATTAGTAATTAGTGATATTAAAAACAAAAACAAAATTTCTCATGGGTATCCGATTTTTATTCAAATCTCATTTGCATTTCAATGGAAATTATAAAATGTATTTACTTTATTTTAAAAATGTGGCTTAACATTTTAATGTGAATTATAAAACATGATAAATCTGCAGATCAAAATTGGGCTATTTGCAGAAAAAAGTTTTAAAACAAGTTTTTAAAGCACCATTTTCCACCTCCACAACAAAAATAACCTTTTAATTAGTGGTCACCCAGGCTGTAACAGCAGGATAACACTGAGACTTGAGTAAACAGAAAAATTGTAGAGATTTTTGAACTCCAGATCAGGAACCTTTCTATGCCTTCTCATAGTGGCGAACAGCAACCACATCACCAAAAGTAAGAGTCTGAAAGATGCAAAAGATAATCAAATCCTTTTATAAGAATATCAGTAGCTGAAATTTCTAAAGATTATCTTCTATAATTTACATATTATGCAAACGAATGTCATTGACAAACATTAGATGCTGCATAAGCTTTTCCTTTCTTAAAATAAAAAGAAACTTTATTTACTGAGTGAATAATAACATGTATACACATTTCATGTCTCTAAAAAAGAAAATGAAGCAAAACAAACTGAGATTAACTAGGTAGATTCAGGTCAGAAGAATCCCTTTTGCCTTAAGTTATCAGGATAATCAAATTAGCTGTCAACTTTGAAAGTGAATGGAATTTATAGTAGGTTTTCATCCCATAAACTTTGAAGAATTTTTAGAAAATCCAAATCATTTAGGCAAATGGTATTTGGAATGACTTGAATCAAGGTGGTCAGGTAAAGTAACTGTACAAATGTTCTCATTGCTTTGATTGTCACCCTTTACCTGATGTGAATGTAGGTGCCTGATGGGGATGGAACGTGGAACATGGACTCTTATGTCAAATCAGACTGGAAGAATTTCTATAAAATCTCTACAAAATCTAGGAATTTTTTTGTGTTTGTTATTTACATGGATTGACATGATTTTCTAGAATATAGCATGCCCTTGTCATTCATTGCTTTAATCCCCTTTTCTTGCACTCAATCTTGCCTAATCAGTCATCCATACATGTCATAAGAGCTATCCACTTTTCTGTATAAAGGGAAGGAAATGGAGATAAAAACATAAAGGAGAAGCTCAGACTGAATCTTTTATAAATAAATCCTTTCTTTTGATGATCATTGCAGAAATATGTGGGCAAATATTCATAAGAGGAAAACTGTCCCTCTGTTCCCCACCCCATGAAAAGAAGTATGAATAACATAAGCTCTGTCTCAATCTAGAAAAGCCCTGATTGCAACAGTTAAAGGAAAGAGAAAAAAAAACCAATTTCCTTAAATCACAAAGACAAAAAAATCCCTTTCTTCTATCATTTTAGAAGG